ACCCATCACTTTTCTAATGGTCCGTCCCTAAAGCATTTTCCAAACAAAAGGCGCTAATTAGGAACATCTTGGGCGCGTGTGCACGTTATAGCTTTTGCTTATAATTATGCTTTTGACCTTGGATATCAGATACCTAAGGACAAAAGTATATATATCCTTACAGGATATCTCCTTGTCATTAAATGTTATTCGTCGTCTGCCTCTCCCAACAAGACTTTTGGAGGTACAAAAACTCCAGAAATTTCAGTGCGGAAATAGCTTGTCGCCACTTGTCGCGCCGTCAAAGCACGGCTCGACCAGAGGGGATAGGAGGCAAGATAGTTCGGAGATAACCGGCAAACGGATTTTTGGTTTGCCCTGATGAGAAATTCTCGGATAACGTGCGCGGTACTTTCAGGATTATCATAAGCACGATTTTTGGGGGGAGATTCATCCAGCAGGACGAACCAAAAAAGCGTTTATCGACTTCCTCCGAACCGAAATCTCTGGATTTGCTTCTAAATGGAAAATGCCCATAATGCCTATTAAAATGCCTAATATTAGCTCTCCTATAGCAGTGTTTACAATGTACTTGTTGAAGGAATAATTGCCTTTAAACCCCTACTGACAAGTATCTTAAAAAAAAAAACTACGGGAAGTTAACATTTTATAAATGTTTAAAAATGTTTTTACCGCCTACGTACCTCCAATTTCGTTCAAGTCGCGCTTGGATGCTTTTCGCTACTAAAGAGCCAATAGCCTCTGTAAGCGAGGCAAACTCTGCATTCATGATTCCAAACTTCTGCGCCGTCAAGGCTTTTGTAGTTGAAAGGCGAATGATCTGAGTGTCGGTGTCAATATCTGGCAGGCACTGTCTGAGCTTTTTCTCAATGTGCTCGATGACGCCACTTACTTCATCAGGTGGGATGTTGTCCCATTTGTTGCAAACAAACAAAGTACAGTCTGGTGAAAATTCCATTTGTTCAGTTGTCAGTTGCCTTGTCTTGTGAAGCAGTCGCACGAGCTAGTAAGATAATGCAAAAAAAAAAAAAATAAATTCCTATGTTGTGGTTTAAATGAAGGAAAGTTCACTACAGAATATTATAGATTAATAATAAGGTAATAGTTGTGGTTTAAATGAAGGAAAGTTCAGAATATTATAGATTAATAATAAGGTAATAGGTAATAAAAAGAGGGATAGAAGACCAAAGAGAATCTAGGAAGGTAAAGACTGGACAAAATTAACACGGATTATAAACAATTTTCTTGAAAGTAAAGGCTTTTTTTGCAGAGCTGACCTCCTCACGTCAAATTGATCAAAGACAATAACAAACATACATAAAACATCCTCTGGAATCAGAAATAAATAAATAAGGAATGTAAAATTCTACACTGACCCGATGAAAAAACCATGTGTGTACAGTGATTTATTTACAACACTAAGAAACATTTTGCAACCCTGCCACCCCGAGGGCATAAACTAGACGTACAGGGATACCTCGGTTGCAGCACGGAAACTACTCGGCTCAGTTGTTATTTTTCACCTCGTATCGAACGTTGGCTTATGGAATAATTGTTTTATTATTGCATTAGGCAATTACATCTCGTAAATTTCTCTTTCGCTACTTTGACCGTGATTCGACGCCTAACCTTTTTAGCAATCTGTCACAAATTTGGCGATATCATAATATAACAAGGTAAACACTTACTCGATCCTTCTGAACACCTCCAGCATTGCCACTATTGATGACGTAAATGAAGGCAAAGGCATTTGGCAAATACCTAACGACGATGTCGTCCATAATCTCTGATTCTCCAACACCAGGACTGTCAACAATTACTATTTTATCCTTAAAAACAAAATATAACTTTTTTTCATTAAAAGCAAAGGACAAAATGATATGGAATCTGAATTCTCTTTATTAACGATAGTAGTACAGTGGATTTGATGTGGTCACGGCACGACGAATATGCATTCATGTGTCCGACGACCATTGTCCGGACATAACCGATGTTCGAAAACTTCAGTACCATGTCAACGGAAAAAGCTGCCAATATTTATAGGCTGCTAGTCAGTCATGATTTAAATCTCCAAACATTTCAATTTCTTCGGCTGTAGTTTTTGGTATTTCTCTCACTCAATCCTCCACTTTGCCCTAACAGTGACGTTTCGTATGCTAGAACATACAACTTGAGAACTGACAGTTATACAAATGCGAAAGAATTGTGCCTTTTTTCTCACCTGTAATAATTTTTGAGGCCAAAACAGCTCCACCTTGCTGTAGTCGGATGCTTTTTCTCTCAAGGTTGGCGATTTGACGTGAACGAACTCTGAGATTTGATCCGTGTAGGAGGAGGATTCATCAAGGTATTTTATCTTGGGTTCTTTCCCTGCCTCCTTGTAGTGTATCTTTATCTGGCGTTCCTTTCCATACTTCAATTCACAAATTGTAGATGTTGTACTTAAAACCGAAAACGGCAAAAGCTCCTCTCCAAGAATTAAGTTTAGCATGCTACTTTTACCGGCACTTGTCTCACCTGAAATGAAATTGACATACAATTCAACTAATAGTTGACTCCCTTAGTACAAAATTTATCCATAGCCTTAGTAAATTTAATCATAAACTGCAATTAAAATTATTCTGAGTCTCTTTGTTTCATTACTAGTAGGTCCATATTTCTTTACGGGTTTGTGTATAGTGTTGTCGGTAGTCTGCATGTCCACCTCATTAAACATTTCTAGGCAATTAAATATTTCTAGGTAATTTGTATGAAATTAAGCGTATTGAAGGACGTCAACAATCCCCAAACAACACAAATACGCCTCTTGTTTTAGCAGAGAAGCAAAATAATGGACAAAAAACCTTTACCAGATTAATTATAAGTATATTACAGTACTTTTTGCATTTTCCAAAAGCTAACGATATAAATAATTGTCTGAAATAACACCAAAAACAATTTCCCATGGTAACTCGAGAAAATAAGGCAAAGTTAAATGTGCAAACACAGGTAAAATTTCATCATCAGTGTCATTTCACCAGTACTTTCAAGTGTTTTATATTCAAAATTTGTTTTCGATATTTGGTGTTGTTAGAAATGATTTCCTTTGAGAAGATATTTAAAACAGTCGCACTCAAGTTTGCAATACAATGTAAATAATATCGGCACAAAGTTTTTATCAACTTGTTACTCAAACTTGTGGTGAATTCCTTCTTAATTTACTTGCACTCAATACAGTCTAAAAGTAAAGACGCTACCGACGATCATGCATTAAAATTGAGAATAACACATCAGTACTTTTTTTGGAATCGTGCCTTTTAACTCTCTGTCGTGATATGATATTACCTTTCGAAGAGCTGTAGTACATGCATACTTTTACCTGCTACAAGGACAACATAGTCTCTACTTTCCATTCTTTCCATTCTTGATCTCATTTTCAAGAGTACGTCGCCCTCACTTGCTTTAAGCAAATTAAGAAACGAGTCATCAAGCCCTGTTACTTCTCTTTGAACCTCAGCATAATACCTGAGGAGATCGAGGGATTTGTTTCTGTCCATGGATCGTGCATCTGATATCACCTTAAAGGCCTGGAAGATGTTGAAGAAAGTACGCATTATTCACTGAATAGTGTAGGAACTTTACATTCAAAAGTAACTGGGTATTTAGTTCTTTTGTTCTGTGAAATACACATTATATTCCATGAATTGTCGTCCTGAGAAGCAATGCAAACAAAATTCCATGAAATTCGCAAATTTCGACCAAACTATACGAAAGTTCGTTTGGAAAGAAAATTCGAAGTTAGTTCTTCGAGAACTCGTAAACCTGTTGTTTTCCACTGACGCAAAATCTCGTGAAATTAATTCGCTCGGCTTCGTGAGACTTTAAGGTTTTTGAAATTCGCCTCAAATCTTCTAAAAGTCGCTTTAAAGCTCGAACAACATTTTATTCCCAACGAAATCTAGCCTGCATCATTGAAATGTTTTGAGTGTCCAATACATAGAAAGGAAAAATAACGAGATCTAAATGTTTGTTGCAGACTTATAGAAGGTTTACTTATTCACGCAAGACACAAGGTCGACCGTAAAGGTAGGTCTCCATATGATCACTATACGATCGACATGAAAATGTTCAGCGGTTGCAGCGACCATATGTTCACTACTCCACAATGAACGTAGCGATCCTTGCTGCAACGTCCACTGAGGTACACCTCAATATTCTATCTCATGATCAAGGCTGTTTTTCATTACTACAATCACTGTGACCGGCTACGATCGTTGTGATCGCTACAGACAAAGTTGAGTCATTCTTACGAATACCTGTTTCCATGTGATCGCTACAATATTCGAAACACACGTTAGAGTTTACGTCTATCTCATATTTAACCTTTTCAATTTTTGCACATTTATTTACATTTTTTGTCTTTGATTAGTCGAATTTAAGTGCCAGTAACATAAACAAAGAACACTTTTCCAAAATTACAATGTCTTTGATTATTGATTTGTTTGAACTTACGTGGGCTTTGGATTGACTTTTCACGGTCTCTTGCTTTCAAGAAACTGACATCAACGTTCCCCTTGTCATCGAACTTGGGTTACCAAAACATTTTCATCCATCACGTTTCACATTTCTTTTTCTTTCTAACGGGGTCAAACCTAAGTGTTGTGATTCAAATGTTGACAGTTTCTGGGAACTGTTTATAATTGTCATGAACGTGCCATAGACAAACTAAAGCCCGAATATAATCGTCACGCAACGAACACAAAGTAACAATTTCTCCAAATTCATCGAACAACTGGGGCCAAAAATGCCGGTCGTTTCCTGAAATTTCATTGCGAAAATCAAAACAAACATGCTTAATCAGAACAGAATCCTGTCGAGAGTAGGGAACCGGCGTTACATCTATGTTGTGTTCTGTCTATGCGAAATCACGCAGGAAGACATTGATCTATTCATAGAAAGGGGTGGCGAATAGTCCTTCAAAAACTCTGGGTTTTGCATATTTTAGTCGAATTTCGCGTGCCTCGTTGTCTCGGTTTTTTAGGGTTTATGGGTGTCGCAGCTTTGATCTTTGCACGAAGTTGTCTCGGAGTCCCGATTCCTTTGATTGTTTTCATAAACGACGTCTTCTCGTCACTTGATGCTGAATTTTTATGACTCAACTTTCAACTCCCGAGAAAAGCTTAATCCGTAAATTCTAATAAATCGTGTTCTAAATCCCACAGAAATTTAAGACTTTTAAGAGTCTGAAAGTTTTGCCCTCGCATTGTAAACACTTTGAAGTCTTGTTCCCAGTAAATCGCATTTACTATTATAAACAAAGCCGACCAAAGTCTCTCAATTTCCGGACTACACCACTTGAAATCCTCCTGATGTTTCAAGAAATTGCAAATCAGCACTACGAAAAAACTCTTTGGCAACAATTTTCCAAGAGGCCATCTCTCGCTTTGAAAACACGACTTGAAGCGCGTGTTTATCCAAAAAAAACAAATAGACTGGGAAAACATTATCTAAGGTCACTTTGGCCGGAAGGTGGTCCGCCATGACAAATAATACTTTTGGACTCCTCTTATTCGTTCGAAACTCGGTTATTTCGAATTCCACGTTACTTCGAACTCAGAAACATGTCCCTTGGATTTGCCCATTGGTTGTGGACTATCGGCGATTTCGAAGTCCCGCTGCATCGAACTATTTTTCATTTCTCCTCAAATTTCGAAAGTTCGGTTTCTTTTCATTCATCTACAGTTGAAACTGTAAATTTATAGACTCACGAGAAAATATTTCCTTTCGTCACAGCATATCACCCAAGAGTAAAAAATCTAAAACAAGAACTTATGTACTAAATTAAAAATGGAATCTCATCCAAAATCAGCCACTGTTGTAGATTAATCTACAAAACTCCTCCCGGCGAGAAAAACTTCGTCGTCTAACGAACTACATAGGTGATTCTAAGCAGACCTTTCGCATACAATATAACACTCTAGATAAAACAAAAATTGCTCATACAGTATCATGCATGACAGTGTGCACGTGCGCGATGGACTATTGTTGCTAGTACGTCTCTGTTGCCCATAAAAATGTTATGTAATACGAGTATCGATGGCCGAGTGGCCACTGTCGATCGTCGATTGCATTCGAGAAAACTTCGCAGGAAGAATAAAAAGCAGTTTTAGACACATTTGAATCATGTTTCTGCGACAATTTCATCTCGTTTGAATACCTGAAGCCAGAATAGGCAAGGAGAAAATTATGGCTAAGAGAAAATTCCATTTATAAATTACTCCGTTACCGAGCGCCGTGCATAGAAAATGAGCTTTTTGTTATGATGATTCTGACCTTATCCGGGAATTTGAATTTGGCCAAGAATCTTAAACGCAAAAAAATTGCAGAGAGTTGAATTAAATTTGAACTAGGATTTCGTCAGTTCTGTTTGGCTGAAACCTGAGTTGCAGATTTCTGGTAAAGACCGAAACGACCCCACGCATGCTCTCCGTGACATGCCTGAAAAGAAGCCATAACAAGAAGCTACAGTTTTGAAAATTTAATTCAACGAGCAGAATAGAGAATATGTCATATGTCATTTTTGGGCATTTTTAAACCGTCTTACAGTTAGTCTACCACAATTGTCAGACGATCCGTGTGCGATAGCGAGCATTTCGAAAGAACTTAATTCAAAGTCTGCACTCTCATGTTTATTATTATATAGACTCTAATCCTACCCTCCGGCAATTGAATTCTTTACCAACGAGCCGTGTCAGCAGTGATCGTGAGCTGCTGTTTCTGAATCATTATGCAGTAGTAACGGATGTTTAAGCGAAAATTAACTCATTGAATCAAAGACTCTCTTTCTAATAATAAGAACTAACGATTGCCTGGCTGACAGGAATCGACTGAAATCAAGAGCATTCGGCCATGTTGCCTCATCTATCACGAAGCATGAAATGTTCATGGAATGTTTCAACATGATTTATAATGAGAATTCAGTTAGTCAGGCAGGTATCTTATGTACATGTATTGCATATTTCAGTACCTTTTGCTGTTATTGTCATCTCACCTCGTTAGAAGCTAGATGGTTGTCTTTCCGCTTAAGTAGATGTTCGAAAATCCTTTCTCTCATTTGATCAACGTTTTTACAGCCTTTGGTTGGAATATTCAAATTCTGCATTAACTCGATTACATCAGCGATGTCTTCAGCCTCGCGTATTTTCTCTATGATGGATTCCATTCTTGTTAGGAGCACTCCTTAGTACTGTAGTAAAACTGTAAACTCGCTGAGATGTCCTCGCAGAAATGGAAAACGGCCGTCACACCCCCAGTTTGACCTTGTGCTTCAACTGACAACAATTCATGATCAAAACAGCTGACGTTTTCGATCGCTTTGCTATTATTCGCATGCCAAAAATTAAAATCTGACCTCTGATCTGTAACTACAATTTCTGAAGTTGAAATTTTAAACAAGGGCAACCTATGCAAATTCACGAGCTGTACTGCAAACAATGCACTGGTTTTGCCACTGACAAATGATCCTAAAATCTATCACGGAGTTTGCTGCCTTCTAACGAGTTTATCAGCTGGTAGAATAGATCAATTATTCAAAGAGTAAACTGGCCACAGTGTTTCTTCGTGGCACGTTATTTAGTAAGTGTAATGGTATTGTAAGTTTCTGTTCATGTCGGTTGACAACCGAGGTAATGTTTCTTGAAAATGTATGATATAATCTGACAGTCATGGAGATCTGACGTTTTCCGTAGAATTCCGCATTTGGTGCTTATATTTTGGGATTGTGACATTACCCTTACCAAAACAGCTGTATTTTTAAACTGATTTTAAACTGTTTTGAACATATTTTGACGATTTAAACAGTATTTTGAAGTCACTATAGGGTATTTTTGTGCTATTTTGTACAAAATTCAAAATTTTGCTTCTTGTTTGTAATGTATTT